ACCCCAAGTTCAGTGAAGACTACAAGGTCTTTTAAACTATAAAATCCTAAATTCTATAAATAAAGAGCCTTTTACTTAGAAAGATATCTGGTTTATTTAATATAACGTCAATAAATAGGCCCCGGCGTAGGAGGCTATCCTAGAATAGGCTTTAGAAGCTTCGGCTAATATAGTCCTTATCCAGAAACCTGCCTACGTCTCGAAACCAGAAAGGTAGTATATTCGAAACCACCCTGCCTTTTACACCGTTACGTCTATATCCTAAAAACCCTAGCTTTTCCCTATTAAGTCTAGGGTCCTTACTTATATAAGACAGGGCTCTAGAATTGACCTTTTATACCGAGACGACCTTCTAGATAATATTAATGCGTAGATTATAGAGGTTTACTATCTATAGACCATCTATATTCTACACGTCTATAATAAGATAGAATAGAACCCCGAAATAATAGACAGAGGGCCTAGGCCCCCTAGTCCTAACCTCTTTACCTCTTCCACTTTTACCTCTTCTTCTTTTCCCTCCTTTTCAGGCTTTAGAAGCCGGCCCTAGACGGAGGATCGTGTGCTACGGGGCTTTTAGGTCCCTAAGCCGACTCTTATTATAGAGGACTTTAACAAAAACCACCAGCAGTAGAATCGGGATACTACGAATTAGGCTTCTATTATAGCTTAGGGCCTAGTCAACTAGTTAGATAGCCTTAGTACTACCTATTTAGTGGATTCTGAAGACGTTAACCTTAATGGGGGGACCTTTTATAGGTATAATCTTTATCAGGAATCGGTTATAGACGTTGCCTTTTATACACCCGGCTTTAATTGTCTCCGCTTTTATAAGTGGGAATATATCGAAAATACCAGGTCCCTATACCGTGCTAACGTTATTTTAGCTTCTGTTTTAGGCTCTAAAGGCCTTATAAACAGGTTACTTTCGCCGGCTTATAATTATAAGCTAGCAGATTAAGATCTATTTTCTCCCACTTTATAGAGCCTACAACCTAGCCTTAAATAGTAGCTTTAATAGGCTATTAACGCCTCGAACTAGGGCTTTATAGGTCGCTGCCTTCTGTATACTATTACCCTAGCGCTTAATGCTTTAATGCCTAAGCTAAATATAGTAGAGCGTTCGAAACCATGATAGACTAAAAAGCTAAAAGCCTTACGATAGTTAGCGAGCACGGATTTTAGGGTACTTAGAAAGATAGCTAAAAGGGTGCCTCGGCTGCCCGGCTAGCATTTTTAGAAACCTCCTAGAAAGACGCTCGAAACGCCTACTACCGGGTAGTAAAAATAGCAGAAAACGACTACTAGGAAGCCTGCCTAGCCTACGCCGAAGGCCCTGAGAATTTTGAGGCCTATAACTATACGAAGAGCGGCCTTAACACGAAAATACCACCGATTTAAACGCCTACGAAATAGAAGGCCTACGCTATCGAGGATAAGTATAACGTCTTACTTTAGACCCTTTTTCTAGCACTCTCCGCCACTAACGCCCCCAAAGCCCCTATATTTACAGGCCTTTCGGGGGACCTAGGCCCCTCTAACCCTTCTAATAGCACCTAAAGCCTAGCTGGATCACGTAGTCAGGGCCTTAGAAGACGGTGGGAGCAGCCTAGCCTCCAGGATATAGAACTATAACGCGCGACGTTTAGAGTTGCTAAAGGGAAAGCCCGCAAAACTAACAGGATAGGTTTAAAACGGATATAATAGACCTATAAGACTATCTCTAGGTCCTTTTTACAGGCCTACTCTGCTCTCTTTTCCGCAGGGTATTACCCTACCTACCAAAAAGAAGCCTTTAGGGTTATTCTGCCGAAGCTAGAAAAGAAGTACTATTCAAATCCTAAATCTTATAGGATTATACCCTTTCTAAAATACATAGGTAAAGTACTCGAAAGGGTTATAGCTACTAGGCTTAGCTATTTAGCTAATACCCGCGACGACCTTCTATACTCTAGTTAAATACGGGGTAGGAAATAACGCTCTGCTATCGATACGGCCCTTCGCCTCCTTTATTATATTAAGAATTAGCGTAAATCACGCTAAAATCCTATAATTTATTACGCTATTTTTAGATATTAAAGGAGCCTTTAATCACGTCACCCGCACCTAGCTACTTAGCACCCTTTAAGAGCTCTAACTACCCCCGAACCTAGTTAAATAGATAGCCTCTTTTACAGAAAATAGGTATATCTAACTATCATTCGAGGGTTACGTTTAGTGGCCTACCCCCTTAAATATAGGGGTCCTATAAGGCTTCCCGGTTTCCCCTATCCGATTCCTGATTTATATTAGGAAGGTTATAGCAGGACCGGACTTTTAGGGTCTTTAGCTCTTCTATATAGACGACTTTTAGCTATCTATAGCATTTATATTAACTAGGAAAAACTATAAAACCCTAGAAAAAGCCGTAGCCTCCCTTTTCGACATAGTAAAAGCTAACTAAGTCCTTTTCGACCACCGAAAAACAGAGCTTATACACTTCTATAGAAGACGCTCTAAAGAAGACGCCCTAGTGATTATAGAGGAGCACCTAGTAAAGCTAGCACTAGGTGCTATTAGGTGGCTAGGAGTCTAGTTTAATCCTAAGCTATCCTTTAAACCCCACGTCGAAAAACGCCTAAATTCAGCTTTAGGGGCCCTAAACAGGTTATATATACTAGCTAGCTCATAGAGGGGCCTTTCTTTTAGGGCCCTACGATAGCTATATCTAGCCTGTATTACCTCTTTGGCCAACTGCGGCTCGTAGCTCTAGTAGGAACCTAAATCACTAGGAAAAGACCTTATAGACCGCCTAGAAAGATTATAGTACGGCGCCCCAGTTAGGGCCTTAGGTGCCTTTAGGGGGGCGCCTTTACGGCCTTTAGAACTCGAAGCGGCTGTCCTCTTAGCAGCGGTTCGGTTAACTAGGTCTAATAGGCTTTATGCCCTTAGGATCTTAAAAGTCCTACTGAACCACCCTATTAAACGCCAGCTCCTAGCGAGGGAAAACTACGAAGACCTCGCCCGGTTATAGAACCTACTGCCCACTATATAGCTATATAGTTTAGGCTTAGAAATAGCGGCTTTAGTAGGGTAATCGTGGAATATCAAAGGTCCTACACCTAGGTAGGAGGCTCCCTAGGCTTCCGAGCCTATAGCGGACCTAAGACCCTTTTTGTCTCTAAAAGACCGGCCTGGAAAAGCTATTAACCCCGACCCTGGCCCTGACTCTAACCCCGGAACCCAGGATTAGAAGATAGCCTACCTTAAAGCCCTCGCTGAAATATAATAAACCCAGGGTGAATAAGCCGCTGTCTTTTATATCGACGGCTCTCTAGGCCACTCTATAAAGCCCCCTATAGGGCCCTTATAGACTTTGGCCGCTGTAATATAGTAGACTAATACCGGAAGACCCTGTAAAGCTATAGGCTTTAACCTAGTGTCCTCTGCCGAAGTCGCTAACGCTGAATTACACGCTATTCTTCAGGCCTTTTACGCTGCCCTATAGTAAACGCCTAGGCCCCTAGAGTGCTATATTTTTAGCGATTTATAGACGGCTATTTAAAATCTTTAGCGTATCTTATACTAGGCTATAGAAGCGAAAGCCCTTATTTCACGCCTTAAATAATAAGGCACTTCGGTTTCTATATAGTAGTGCCCCTCGTATATAAGGATAAAAAGGAACGAATTAGCGGATATAGCAACTAAAAGGATATTAGACCCCGAAAAAGCTACTAAATCCGTTAGTTTGGCTGCTATTAGCCACTAAAGATACCGGGTAAATAAGGGCTTAATTTAAGACTAAAAGGCCCTTTAGAATAATAAGGAGGAGGCGGGAAAAAAGGTAAATCGGTACGTCTAGGCCGCCTTTATAGGCGCTTAGTCCACGATAACCTCCGTTTTTCCCAAAAACCACTTCTAATATAGGGCTCTAAGTGGGTAAGGTCGGTCTTTACTTAGTTAAAAACCGGCTTCGGATACCTAAAAACCCACTAAAAAAGGGCCTAAAACTATGCTAATAACCCGCTATTTCTATCCCGGCTCCCCTATACAGGATATAGCTATTTTAGACTAACCCTATTAGCCAGGGTCCCGGCCTTACTAAGCCGAGACACCGTATAGACCTCTCACCGATTGGGCAGCTAACTGATAGCTGCCCCTAGCGAGACAAACCTTTCACCTTTTCCTTCTCCTTTCCTTAGTTCTAGATAATACAATTATTCGGCCTTACTTGTTGGCTTAGACTCGTGACCAGCCGTTTATAATAGCCAACCTTATCCTTTTCTGCCCTTTTTATAAAACGAACAAAAGGCCCTATAGGAAGCCTTATCAGGCCTACCGCTATCTCTACCGCTATTATTTAGTACTAAAAGAGGAATACAGGCCTTACAGGCCTATCTTTTAGCTACTAAAATAGCCTCGGCGGAGTAGTACAGGACATAAACCTCGGATTCTACGGTCTAGTTATTCTGTTTTGGTTTTTTCCCTATTATTAGGTCTGTTAGGCAGATTATTACGGAAGATTTCCTTTATTTATTACAGTGATTTATTATACTTAGCTTCTACTAGCCTTTAGTCTTTAGGGCGATGGGCGCCGCGCTATAGCTTTAGGGCTACACACGCGTAATAAAAATAAAAAAGAGCGTAGTATATTATATAAAGTAAATGCTCTACAAAGCTCCTATAACGCTATCTTAAGGCAGGCGCAAAGGAGGCGGCAGTATTAGAGGGCATATTAAAAAGAACTTCTTTTAATAATAAATCTAATAATATCTTTAACTAGCCTGATATTAGTCTAGTAGCGATATTTAACTTTATACACATCTATATAGAATAGATATAAAGGTACGGATCAGCAGTGCAATCCAATAATCGAGCGGGGTGTAGAGCTTAGTATCAAGCTAATGTTTTTAATGCCTGGATAGGTGTAAATCGAATTGCACAGGGGACTGTCCCGGTCCGACTATTCGCCGGTTTCTCTGCGAAAGAAATCACACTCCGAGGTCAGCACAGTCTATTAAAGCTTCCACGGCTTGAACGTGTATCAACTCTTTGTGCCATCCCTAGCTTCCCAGCAGACCATCAGGGAACCGCGGGCACTCATCCGATAGCTATACGCACTCGTCTAGCGTTTATTATACACACGATGTCCTACCCTGTAACAAAAGCCGCTAAATGGGCTGTCAGCGAGCTGCGAGGCGTCGTCGTCTCAGCTGGTCTGATGCAAAAAACAGTCAGAGTCCGCGTAGGCGGGCAAAAATACAATCCTAGGATTCAAAAGGTTGGTGGCTCTATCATCTGCTTCCCGACATATTTCCGCTCCAACGGGCCCCCGTCGAAAACCAGCTCTTCCTCGTACGCCGAGACTAACTGTAACCTCGAAGATGTTTACAACCCCTAAATCCTACCTCGTCCACGATCCGAACTCCTCCCTGCACACTGGCGATGTCGTCTCTATTGTCCCAGGCTGGCCAACTTCCAAACACAAGCGACACGTCGTGAAACAGATCATTGCCCCTTTCGGAGTCCCCATGGAAGAGCGACATCCTGTGCCGACTGAGGAGGAGAGGATAGCGCTTCGGGATAAATGGAAGGCAGAGAAAGACACGCGGAGAGAAGCGAGGAAAAGAGCGACCGGTGGAGCAAACGCTACTACCATAGTAGCTTCAAGGTCCTGAGGCTTGGCGTGCAAGACAATGCGCGTTACCATGATCATGTGCCAACTGAGGGCTCTTTAACCACCGCTGTACGTGGATGGATGCAGGGTTCTGGGCAGTTCCATGTTGGAACGAGGGAGGGAGAAGGAGACGGCCTACGGTTCATCAGAGAACGACGATTGGCCGCTACTCGATGCGCCTTTGTACAATCAATCTATCTCAGTGTACTTCTAGAAGTTTGATGCATTAATTTCCGGCTGCAAACGCCGACGCCAGGACCGTTACCACCCTACACCGAAGAACTTTGAAAGTTTTCCGCCATCGAGAGGTAATAAGCGTTACATATCTCCCGTTGTCTATTTCTTCCAAGAAACTAGCTTAACCGCCTCGTTCGCCGAACACCGTGGCCCAATCCTCGTACTCCTTCAAGCCTGCCTTGCTGACGCTTGGTCGAATGGTGGATAAGCTTGATTCAAAATCTGACAATTGAATTGGCCGTATATCGTCCATGGTCATATGCAGCAACGCGTCGCCTAGGCATCTCAATGGTCCCATAGCGGCGTCTTTTGCAAGTGCAGTTATATCCGAGCCAGAGAAACCTGCCGGACAGAATAACAGATCAGCAAGTCTTAGAAAGTGGATGGAGTCGAGGGATACATACCGTCCGTCAAGTCAACTAATTTCGCGATGTGAGCCTCAGATAGGGTATGCTTCTGTTGCCCAAGTAACGTTCTTAGCTGCGCGGATCTTGTTTCTGGCTCCGGAAGTGGAATATATTGACGCCTCACGAATCGCCGTCGCGCAGCTTCGTCAATGGCCCAAGGGAGGTTCGTGGCAGCCAGGACAAGGACGCGATTCGGGTCTCCTTGTCCATTTCCTCCGGCAATAGACCTCCCAGCCGCAGCACGCTGCAGGTCGCTCCATTGGATAAGGAACTCCGTCTTGAGTCTCCGCGTGGCTTCATGTTCGCCCGTACTTGACCTCTGAGACAAGAGAGAATCGATCTCATCGACAAAGATAATGCTGGGGGCAAGTTCTTTTGCGAGAGCGAAGAGAGCTCGTACGAGTTTCTCTGATTCACCAAGATACTTGCTGGTTAAACTGCTTGCCGAGATAGAGAAAAACGTCGACTGGGATTCGGTAGCGACGGCCCTCGCTAGCATAGTCTTGCCAGTACCTGGACAAGTGTCAGTGATAAAGACTGAGGACACAATTCGACGCAATCGAACATGATGAAAATACATGGCCAGTGTCACAAAAGTATCTACACGAAAAGAACATGGGCCATCTCAGAACGCACCTGGTGGTCCAAATAGCAGCATACCCCTAGCCGGCTCGCGAAGTCCCATGAACAAGTCTGGTCGAAGAAAGGGGTATACCACTGTCTCTCGTAGCGCATTCTTCGCTATCTCAAGACCTGAGATATCGTCCCAATGTACCTCATCTCCCTCCACTACGATCTCGTTAAGGATCTGGCTTGCTGCCACTTCGTCTACCCCGGACGGCAGATTTTTTAGGATAGCGATCTTTCTCCTCTGCCACGAAGTTTTTGTCGAGTCATTTTCGTTGTCGTCGCCGTTGTCGTCGCCGTTGCCGTCGCCCCGATCGCCAGATCGGCTTTCTCGGATGGAGCCCATATGAGCATGCTCTTTACGCTTCCCTTTCTTGCTTCGACTGCGGTGCGATGTTAACCTAGTTCCTTTCTTTGACTCACTTAGCACAGACGGTTCGACTTGAAGCTCGCCAGGACTATGCCTTGACGTCTCGCCTTCGAGTATCTCCTGTGTTTCGGAGCTCGTGCGGATGTTGTTACTCGCGTGGGCTGTAGAAATTGTAGAATCCGCAACTGTCTTGCGTCTTGCGTCGCTGCTGAGGCGATTTCTGCGGTGCTTACTCGAGTTTCCAGGGTCGGATGAGGCTCTTGGGGCGTCAAGGTGGGGAGGTAAAGAGAGCGAATTAAGCCCGAGCGATGGGATCTTAGGACGAGCTGGTTTGTCCACTTCAAGCACGTTCGAAGTTGAGCTAGTCGCATCCTGTGTAGAGAAGGAACTGAGGGCGCTAGACGCAGCACTGACAGAAAGAATGGGCGAACGGGCATAAGGACTATCGCTGGAATGCCTTGTCGCTTGTGGGACCGGCATGGTGAGGCCATCAAGATTTCGTGTGGCAGATACCAGCCGCCTCGAGTGGGTATCCCACTCTACTAATGGTGGCACTGAAGGTTTCCTGCCGCGATCTGGAAGAGGCTGGGTGCTAGGGCGAGAGGCGGACGCTTCAGCAGCGATTGTAGTGGCTTCTCCCCGAGGCAAGCGGCCTCTTGACGTCAAGGCATGCCAAGCCAAAGTCGCAGCCCTCCCCGCACCAGGACGCTGGGTACAATTAGGATCGTGATTGGCCTTCGTACTTCTCGTCGCGGGCTTTGCTGATCGGAGCGTGGTTCGCATTGTGTGCTTCTCCGGACTTGAAGGGCGGGATCCCTTCTCCTTCGTGCTTCCCATCGTCGGCGGGGTCAACGGTGTGTCCAAGGGCGACGAGACACTTTGATGCAATGCAAGCTGAGAACCTGATTCCCGTGCGGTTGCGACAGCTCGTTCAGACGATATCCTGCGGGGAAGTGGAGGTCTTCTAGCTGGTCCGGGCCGCGACAGTTCTGGGTATGTCACTGCAGGAATGGTACCCTCGCCTATCCACCCTTTGTCTTGCGCTGCAGAAGAACTGGCGGGGTTGCTTGGCCCATACAAATTGCTATCGGAGGGACTGGTGCCACGGGACTGGGGTTGCTCTTGTCGGGATAATTGCAAGACCTCCAGAAGATCAATTCGCTCTCTACACTGAAGCTCAAGTTCGTGAAGAGATTCGATGAGGGCTCTCTCTGTCTCGGACTCTGATGAGGAGTTGGATAACACCTTGGTGACACGATGATGTACAATCTCATCTAGCGCATTTCTCCAGCACCGCAAGGCCTCTTCTTCGTTTCCCTGTTGTAAGATGTGAAACCTGCTCAGCAAAATGACACCGGCGAAGACTCTTAAAGCCCGTCAACAAGACTCTTGGAAGAGAGGCCGCGAAGTGGAGACGGGGGTGGGAGGGTCGATAGACAGACCTGGCTTTCGTAGTAAACCGCCGTCGAGCATTTCAAATAGCTATTGTCATATGTCTTTTGCAGAAGCGCCATGCTCCTGATGCGAGACATTGGATCCTGACCACAGAGGGCATGATTGTGCTCACGAGTTCGGAGTCACCACGTGATCATAGGCGAAGCGTGAGTTCCATTAATCTCTTCTGGAACTCATTAATACACCTCTACCAGGATCTAGTATATTAGCGCGTATACAAACTAATATGACTGGCTAGGGATAACAGAGCGGCCTTGCTGGATAGAAGTATATCCAAACATATACAAACTATAAATAGATTTCAGTATATTAACCTATATAAATAAAAGTTTATCCTACTACTATTATAGCTATTGCTATAATTAAAAATCAGTATCTGCTCTATGCCTTCTAGTAGCCTGATATAGGCGGGCTAGTCTTAGGGGTATTATAAGGTAGTCGGGCGTTAATAGTAGTTATATTGTAAAGGGCTACTTCTATAGAATCTGATTATAGGTTTAAAATACAGATTATAAAGAAAGTAGTAAAGTTACGAGTACTATAATTAGTAGACTATTTATCGGTAAGATAGTAATAGCTTTACCTAAAGATACCTTTATAATATTAGGTCCACGATCGTAATCTATCTTTATACCCGCCTATATAAAATAAGAGGAAAGGTACAGATTAGTAGGCTAATCTAATAAGCGATTAGGATATAGGGCGAATTCACGAGTGCCCGTCTTCCGCCCCCCCTGTTCTATCTTCCGGGTCGACTTAAACTACTTTAAGGTTAAATAATCTACTACTTCCCTACTACCCGAAAATAGGTGCGTTTTATAGGTCTCTCGAAGTACCTAAACATAAAAAAGAGAACGCGTGCGAATACTCTTCAAAGAAGGACTCTGCGAAGAAGGACCCCTAGCCCTAACGCTTTAGGGCCACGCTATTATATTATTATAGTGTTATTATTACGTTATTATAAAGGGAAAAAAATTGGTGGTTAGGTAAACACGTAGAAATCCGGATACGGATAGTCAGAAAAACGCTGGAGCGGATTACATAATCGGAAAAATACCGGATGGTTATATACATTAATATTATTCGTCGTATAACTAAGGAATAGTAGGTCTACTAATCGTATTTATTTATTTTAATCCTAACATGCGCCCCTCCACACGTGCCGCCCTTTTCCTTTTCCCTCTTTTCCTCCCCTTTCCACTTACCCTTTTCCACCTACCTTTTCTTTCCTTTTACCTATCTTAGTATATATTTAAACTACGGCTATTTAAGCCTAGTATTCGTGCTTTAGAAGACGACCTACGAGATAATTACGCGCCGAGCAGAATCGCGATATTTGTCGTATCTCAAAAATGTACCACTACGCTAAAAGGAAATTTCTATATCTTATATATAGGGCTTATTTAAGTGCTTATATTCAATACGACACACTCCCTAGATTAGCAGGCAGTACTGCATAGTATGCTGGATAAGTCATTAATAAGCACTAATAGCTCTGACTGTCTGTCTTTATTTTCTTATGGGTTTTCCACGTTTCGAATTAAGGTTATTTTTAAGGGGTATGCTTAGTAACCACTTTACGCTGAAACGGCTACCGGGCTCATAACTGTCGCATCTCAAAAATATACTACTACGCCAAAAGGGAATTCCTATATCTTATACATAGAGCTTATTTAAGTGCTTATATTTAATACGATAATATTACTCTAGTAGTAGTATATTAGAACACGAATATCGGTACCGGAATCGTGGTCGTATTCTTCTATAGAAGGGAAAGATTCCCCTATAGAAAGTATCTATAACTATTTATATAGCCGAGTTAGGGCTATCTAGAGTCGTTAGTACTTACTAAGACTATACCCGAACTATACCCGAAAAGGTCCCGAAGTCACACCCCGATATCCTGGAGCCTTTATCTAACATAAACCCCTAGAACTAAGGGATTATATCCAATAGTTCTAGCCCTTGAAACCACTCAAAATAACCACTTAAATCGGGGTCTAAAATAGCTCGATATTAAATATAGAATCAACGGCTTATTAAATAGCTCGTTATCTTTAAAAACAGTACAAAAACAACCGTTAATAGCTATAAACAAGGCTATAGTAGCCGTAGCCACGTAACTATTAACCCTATCCACCTCTTAACTATTCTAATAGCCGTAAATCCTTTAATAACCTTAGTTCTTCCTCTTTGTTAGGATCTATAGCAGCAGCGGCAGGCAGCGGTATAGGCGTAGACGGTAACCCGTTTTTACCCTTTTTAGTCTTTCTACCGCCTCGTGATACGGTAGGAGCCTTAAGGGGATCTTCCACGGCAGTAATAGCAGTTGGATCTTCTTCTTTTTCCACTATAATAATAGCAGTATCTTCTTCTTTTTCCTTAACAATAATAGCTTTAATCCGTTTAACGGCAGTATAAGACTCTCTTTCTTCTATAATAACAGAGGCTATAGGCAGGGCCACCATCTCTCCAGATCTTAACGAAGACCAGGGCTAGCCTCTTTAAAAACAGGTTCAAACCGCTTAATTAAAGTAATAGCAGTAGGAGCAACGGCTCCCGTAATAATAATAGAGGTACCTTTCCCTACCCCCCTAGGGCAAGGGCTAACTTCTTCTATAACGCGTGGCATAACAGGTTAATAAACAGATTAACGAATAACGGCAGAAACATAAGGGGTATTAAAGAAGCTAAAGTCGGCATGCGAGGCGATATCGTTCTGCGTGCCGTGAAAATAAACGTCGTTTTCGTCGCTATCTTGCTAAGTAGCGGTAGCGAAGTACGAAGACTACTTTATAGTCTTCTTCTTCTTTTCTACCTCTCTTTTTAGGTTAGCTTTAAAGCTCGTTTAACGCTCCTATTCCTAGCTTTTAATAACCCTTTTATAGCGTTTAACTACTTCCTTTAACGGTTTATACCTATCCTTCCTTTATATCTCGTTAATATTAGGGTATATATACTAACGCCGATAATAGGTATCGCTTCTTTTAGCCCTAATATAATTATAGATAAAATCGACCCACCCCCTAGGGGACTCCCTGCCCCCCGGGATCTTCGCTTTTTTATCCTTTCCGAGAAATATCACGGTGTAGAAGCTACTTTAGATAGGTTTTAATTATAGGCATTCAGGCTCTTAAACCCTTAACTAACTACTATACTTTCTTGCTAAGGCTTTAGGCTCTAACGGTCCTTTTCTTCGAGGTCGTGGATCCGAATAAAGGTAGGGTCTCCCTATTCTGGTAATATTCCCCGAATAACTTAAAAGAAATCACGGCGCTACTTTTCCGGATCTTTAATATCCCGTATAAAGATTTAAGTCGCTAATCGGTATAGCTTAACGAAGTCATTTACCTATTACTTATAGGGTATCCTCTTTATTATTTATAGGTAGTCGTCCTACCTCTTCTTAATAAGGTACCTCTACACTTTATTAAATAGTGCGATCTATTCCTTTAAGACTTAAATCCTCTCGCTAACGTGTACGTAGAATTTAAACTAATAATAAAGGTCACGGTTAATACTACTAATTACGTAGTTATTAACTCGCGCGATCGAATTAGATACCTTATCGTATTGGCTTTCTTTAATTTAGAATAGATAAAAGTTAAAGTCTTCGTTATTAGAGTCCTTTTCGGGTAAGGTAGGCCGTACTAATTTAAGGCGTTCCTAGTCCGGAACTTCGGGGTTAATATACTACTATACTTCGTATTACGTCGTGATTACTCGGACGCTATTAATCTATAGTTTCTAATTATCGGGCTTTCGAAGGATCTTTAACGCAGGGTGCTCCTTTATATCTATTATAGACTTCGGAGGCTTCACGGCACGGTATAGTATAGGGTAGATAATAAACAGAATAATACTATAACTATAGAGTAGGCGGACGTTACCGTTAAATAACCCTAAATCTTAATAAGCGTCGAAATAGTGATACCGTTAGATCTACCGAAATGGGGTTATTTTTTAGAGCGCCGGGCTTATAACTATCAGAACACGAATATCAGTACCGGAATTATAGTCGTATTCTTCTATAGAAGAGAAAGATTCCCTTATAGGAAGAATCTATAACTATTTATATAGCCGAGTTAGGGCTATTTAGAGTCGTTAGTACTTGCTAAGACTATACCCGATCTATACCCGAAAAGGTCTCGAAGTCACGCCCCGATATCCTGGAGCCTCTATCTAATATAGTAAAAGTGGTGGTAATACCTAGTGTTTTGATTTCTCGGATGTTTAGGTACTTCGAGAGATCTATAAAACGCACCTAATTTCGGGTGGTAGGGAAGTAGTGGATTATTTTACCTAAAAAGAGTTTAAGTCGACCCGGAAGACGGAATAGGAGGGGGCGGAAGACGGGCACTCCGAATTCACACGCTAATATACTAGATCCTATCAAATAGACTATAGTCTTTTCGATTACGTAATGGGTCGGATTGCGAAGAGTATAATCCGAGTAGACACCTATAGAATCTATGCTATATAAAATACGGTGGTAGCGGTTTACTAATAGTCCGATATACTTGCCTTTACCGAAACTCTTAAGTATAGTATAGGATACGAGTATTCCTTTTCCTATAGCGTATTTATCGTAAGGATAGCTCCCTTATTTTTCGTCGCTATATATCTATATAAATACACCCGAAAAGGCTTATAACAGCTTTATATTAAAATTAGGATATTTAGCCACTACGCCTTTCTAGTACTTATAGCGTATAATAATACCGCGCTTAATCTATGTATTTATTAGTATATAGTAATATATATAGATATAGGGATATATATCGGGCTTATTTTTATTTACGTACTATAACACAGTATTAGCGTAGTTTATTTATAGTTCTGTATATCGAATAGTCAGTATACTATTATAGAAAAGCGTGTATAGATATATACGATTAAGAATAAACGTGTTAAGGAGGGGAGAATTAAGCGTATTTTTAGGCTAAGTCTCGGACGTAGCCGGCAGAACCTATAAGCCGATACTCTAAGGCTATTTATAGTCTTCCTCGGACGCTATCTTATACCAGGGGATACTTACTTATATTATTATATGTATAAAGATATTCACGATTATACGTCTATCATAGTATACGTTAGCCTGTATCTAGAACTATTCTG